TTTTCATGATTTTGTCATGAGCTGTTCGGTCAACCTCTGCTTATTTTCCTGTTTGTCTTGGAGAAGATGATACTTGAAAAGTCAACAGGCTCACCTGGTCCTCTTTTTCTCTTCAGGACCATATGCCACAGGATTCTTCCAGCAAATCTCTCAACCAGGCCAAAGACTGCTAAATTTCCCCCCTAGTCTTCACATCCCTGACCAGTTATTTTTGTCATGAGCTGTTCGGTCAACCTCTGCTTATTTTCCTGTTTGTCTTGGAGAAGATGATACTTGAAAAGTCAACAGGCTCACCTGGTCCTCTTTTTCTCTTCAGGACCATATGCCACAGGATTCTTCCAGCAAATCTCTCAACCAGGCCAAAGACTGCTAAATTTCCCCCCTAGTCTTCACATCCCTGACCAGTTATTTCTTGTTCATGAGTATGAAGTCCAGCAGAGAACACCTTCCCTCCTTGGTTCCTCTGTCACCTGTATCAGGAGCATCAGGCTTGCAGTTGTCTGAAGAAGGCTTTGTGTGCTTCCTCCTAGCAGGGCTATTTGCAGCAGACATCCACTAGATTGTCACCCATGTTGGCCTTCCCTCTGTGCCTAACCCAAGAGCTCCCAACTGGCTCACTGTCTATTCCCAAGTGGAGCTCTGTGCATTCCACCTGCTCTCATGTAAAGAGAACACTGCTCACCTCCCAAGTGTGAGAAAAGCAGCTGGACAGTAAGTGATGTGTGGGAAAGGAAGGCTAGTAATCCCTTTCCTCCTTGTGCCAGTAGGCTCAATATTTGTGCCACTTCCAGGGTCTGCATTATAACTAGTTAAATTATCAGTGTTTGTTGTGTCTAAAGATTAATCTTTAGTACATCTTTGGCAATGTGTCAGTCATCAAAATCTTAAAAGCTAGAAGGAAGGCAGTAGTTTGGGGATTTACTGAGTGGAGGGTCTGTCAAATATGAGACATTGTACTTCGCTGTTTGGGTGCATGTTGGGCTGGAGGAAGCAGTGTGTGATGCTTGATCAGATGGCACAGTTGATATTCATTCCCCTGGAAGCTGTGCCAGCTACCTACAGTGAGGTCCATGCTGAGTCATACTCAAATAGAAAACTTCCATTTAAGGGACTCAGGGTCTTCCAGCAATCACAGTCAGATGGTGGTGTGATGAAGGTCAGATTCTTCTGAAAAAGAACTTGCATTGGGTGAGCCTGTATTCCAGGAAGATCTGTCTTGATTTCCTTGGAAAATAATTGTTTTCTGTTCCTGATCTCTTTAAAAAAAACTGCATAATTAGCACAGAGGGACTGTGCTGTTGGACCTGTTAGTTGAATTAAAAAGTCCTAATCCTTTCTGCTAGCAAGAATTTCAGACTTTGCCCAAAAGTGAAGTGAGTCAAGTATATGTGTGACACTGGGTTTTAAATTCCTGGTTGATAGCTAGAGGTAGATGCAGCTATGCAAAGGCTTTAACAACATCTTTCCATTTGGCAGAGTAAATGTACTGTAGTGAAACAGGAGAATAATAAATTTGTTAGCTAGTTTCTGCCCTATTAATGACTTCTGCAAGATTATCATCCCTCACTTTCACCCTAGAATGACTGACCAATAATTTTTATTGCATCAGTTTAGTAAAATGAAGACATTGGCAAACACTTCTGTTAGTCTAACCCTGTTATCTGTTCCCTGATTTTTCCTTGGTTCTGTCTTAGAAGCTTCCACAAACTTCTCTAATTGCCATTTTCAATTAATTCCCCTCAATCCCTAGCGAGCAGGTGAAATGCAGGAGAGAGAAGTTCCAAATTCCCTTATGTTGAGCTATAACAAATTTAGTACTAGCTCCAACACATCCAGAATTAATCTTGACGGTTTGATCATCGTACTGTGAACTTCATCAGCTAGAACACTGCCTCGGTGTCTCTCCTGGAACAGATGATCCAAATAAATAGAAAAGGAGTGCTGTTACTCTAGCAACAAGAATTGTGAGATAATTAACTCTTGTCTGTCTGATGAGTTCTGAATTGTGCATTGTACTGAATCTTGAAATGGCTGTGGGAGCAACAGCTTTTGTGTCTGTGTAATACTGGAAATACTACTCAAAATCCTGAGAAGAGTGAGGAAGGGAGAGCAGAACTTGGGGGTTATGTGGGAAATGGGGAGGGGTGGAATCCCTGGGGGGCAGCTCTGCAGAATAAAGGGGTTCATTAAGGTTGGCAGTTCATTAAGGACAGTGTGTTTCAAACACAAAAGCAGTCTGAGTGTGCAGGTAGATTGATCAGCAGGACTGTCTTGTCTTTACAGGGATCTCATGGCTGCTCCCTGGTCCTGGTGCAGTGTAATGGAGGTAGAAGCAGGTGTAGGCTACAAAGGAAGAATCCACAGACACTGTCCAGGCCTGTAGAGATGGTGTTTGCAAAGCCAAAGCTTGTCTGGAGTTGATGCTTGTAGAGGATCAAGGTCAGTAAGCAGAACTGTTGTGACTTTCTTAGCAGGTAAAAGACTTAACAAGTTAAAAGTGGTCCTGGAGCTGAATGGTGAGAGTGATTTAGTAACATGACTGGAATAACAGAGACAAGGCTGAGGTGATCGGTGCCTTCTCTGCTCCAGTCTCTGTGCTCTGAAATGCTTCGGGGAGAGGAACAGCAGCAGTGGATGAAGGGCAAGTCAGGGATATGTTGAGAGTTCTGGACTCGTACGTGTCCATAGAGCCAGATGGGCTGCATCTGAGGAGGCTGAGAAAGCTGCCTGGTACCTTTGCAAGGTCACAGAGAGCACAGAAAGTCCACAGCAATTGAAGGCAAATACTGCAGCCGTCTGTCAAAGGGGTGATATAGGAACTATAGGCTGCTCAGTTCCACTGGACTCCTTGGAAAAATCATGGAGTGAGTCCTTTTGGAACATGTTTTTGGGTACACGAAGGAGAAGAGAGGGACTGGAGACAGTCAGCATGGATTTGCCCAGGCTAGATCATGCCTGACCAGCCTGGTTGCTTTCCATGGTAGGTTTGTGAATAAAGTTGAATGTAACCAAATGGTAATTTACTATAGGCTGTGTAAAGGATAAAGTGAGAATTTACTTTTCTGCCTGGTCATACATTTTCTCCCTCCTTTCTGCCTTTTGAGGGAAGTGAGTATTGAAGTTGGGTGTACATACCTTAACTCTTTGGAATTAATTAATTATCACTAGCTTTTCCCATCTTCCCTCCAAATATGTTATTGCTGGTTTAATTTTGTTTAAGATTGTGGGTATACTGCAGGTAACTCCTGGAGTTATTCCTGCTCCAAAAGACATACCAGACACACAAGTACTTAATTCACTCACAGGAAAACCTTGGAGTAAGATAGGAATTTGAATATGTGTATTTCTGGCTGACTGAGTTTAACAAATTGGTTGAAGAAAAACACATAAAGCATTCTGATAAATGCACAACTTCCAACATATTACTCATATTAAAAAAAAGGGGTAAATGATAAGCAGCACTGAATTATCTCAGCCATATCTCCAAGTGCTATCATTTAGTTTATTTCTCAGTGCAGAGCTGAACTTGGTGTTGCAGAATGTTGAGTAGTTCTGTTTTAAAGGTTGTTGAGTTTGACTATTTCTTTCCCCTGCTAGTTCTTATGAAACCTGCTTACAGAGAATTGAATTGATGGTTTTGTGTGTCATTATGTAATACATCTCTTCTGACTTCTGTGGCTGGTCTCTTCAGATAACTTAATGCAGGTTTGCTGATCTGCATTTTTCTTTATGCCTAAAATGACCAGTGTGCAAATGTTACTTCACAAGTTCAGCTGATAATCAGCAATTAAGCTTCACATATCATAAAGAGTATGGAATAGGTAGGGCTGTGTTACAATGGTTAGTGGCTAGAGACAGTTTCTGGCTATAAATATTGCTGATAGTTGTCAAATCCTTTTGCTGGTCTTTCCAGTTAAGATTTTTGAGAATCCACACTGTTATCCCTCAGCAGAAGCCCTCTTCAGCCAGAGGGTTTTGGTGGAGGGAACAGGGTGTGCTGACTAATGTCTGTAACATTTATAAAAGGAATAGCTTGTTTCACAAGAAAATAGTGTTACAATGCTAATTAGATAATTCACGCTATACTTGCTTGCTGCAAAAGAGAATAAAATACAAATCAACTCCATTTCTGTGCTAAGCACTTCATTTTTTTAATCTGCCTTCAGCTTCTGTGTGCAACATTCTTTTTTTGTCACCCATTTTTGCAATGTTTTGTCATGCATCATGGGAAAAGGTCCTCAGAATGTCTTGCTGAGCTGCATTTCAGGTTGTTCATTGCCAGAGAAATTTGAGTTCTTTGTCAAGAACTCTTGGGTTTGGTTTTTGCAGTTGTTACTACTACAAATGAGTAATTGTACTTTAAGTAGCATGTGAAACAGTGGCAGGCAGAGAGCAGGGCAAAATAACAATACAGATAGGATGATTTTCATAGTTTGAAATCTAGAAAATGCTGGTCATGTGTAGGAGGATTGCTGGTTGTTTGAAGTTACATTTTAGATTTTTATTGCAGTAACTATTTGAGGGTAAAGGGTATGTGGGAGGCATTGCAGTAAGTTTCTGAAACTCCTGAAGTTGAAGATGCAATGAAGAGCTTTGAAAGGATAAATATATTACTGTAATTCATTTATTGAACATGTCTTTAAAAACACACAACCCAAACAAAAAACAACCCCACCAACCAACCCCAAACCAGCTGTTAATTAGCTTTAGCACCACATTGACAGTCATTTGGACAAAGACAGTCCATTCTCTTCCAAAGGTACCAGTGACAGGAGTTCTCTCCATATTTGCACACATCTTGCACATACAGTGCTTCTGCTTAAATTGTTAAGAATTTGAATAAAAAGGTATTTTTCCTTCTTCCCCCTTTTCACATCCCCTTTTTTTAAAATGAGAGATGTACTTGCCGATTACATGCTCTCACACTGTCAGTTTTTTGGAAGCAGCAGCAATGAACTGTTTCTGACTTTCCCATGCAACAGTCAGGAGAAAAGATTAATGCAATGGAAATTGGTCTGTAGGAGCTCTCTGAGCTAGAACTCAGCAGTTCAGGAATCTGACAGTATATAAGCTACTAGACTGTTCCTAGATCTTACAAGCTGCCAATTACAAGGCCATCTAACTTCTTCTTTACCCATGCCATTAGTATGCACTGTTGTTCTGAACAGGAGACTTTCATTGGTAATCTGTGATTTTTTTACCACATCTTTATTTATATGTGCAAATATAATATATACAAAGAACACATTTAATAAAATGTCTCAAAAAATCAGCTTGCTTCAACCTCTGTAGAAGGTTTCTATATTGGAAAATGCTGTAGGCTGTGGCATTTGCATGACACTGGAAGCAAGACCACCCTGCTTTGATGACTTGTAATTGGTGCCCTTGAAACCTTCTCTGGATCTAGGAATACAGCAGCAACTCTGTTCTCCAAACAGACCTGTCTGGTTTCTTTTTTCAGAAAGTGGGAAGTCCAGAAGACTGGCTATTTTTGGATGGCTGGGTGGAACAGTGCTCCACATGCATTTTTCTGTTATGAGGTTGTGTATTAGTACTCATTGTACATGAAGCACTTCTTTCCAGGGAAACAAAGATATTCTCTCCCGTTAGCTTTCATTTTATTATTCAAAAACACTTCTTGCTGTAAGAAGGAGGGATTGAATTCTTTTCTGCAATGATGTCTGTGCCTCAGCAAATCCTGAAGGTGGTATTGGTCTCCTGTTTCTTTCTTCAGATATTCTAAACATCCTCGTTTGCTTCATGATGCTTTCTAGGCATCTCCTTGGACGGTTCCGTTCTATCTTCTTGCTCCCTAAAACATTGTTCAGGAGTAGAGATGTTAAAGTAAAACCAGCTAGAAATTTTACTGAAGAGATTTTGTGTTAGAATGGTTTGAGACTGCTCTAAGCTGATCTGGAACTGTACTGCACTGAACTCCATAAATTGAGTCTTGCTGGTGATGTGAGGTGTGTGGGCTACTTTTTACTTTCATAGCATCTATGCTAATTCAGTTCCAAGGTCTGAATGTTTTGGTTCTACCCCAGAGACCACAAAGGTGTCTGGTACTACTGGGCATATTCTGTAACAAGAAACTGAAAGGAGAAAGCAGTGCACACTTCCCTTGATTTCTTTTTCCTCCCATGCTTTCCACTCCATATGTTGATGCCGGAGGGAAAAGGAAAACCCTTCATATGTTCCATTCACTCTCCTAGGGAAAGGTACTTACGTCATCTCATATTCAGTGTCCTTGCTTGCCCGACAGCAGCAGCAGTAGGCTAAGATACCAATAACTATAATTGCAGCAATAACTCCCCCGATGATGCCAGCATAAAGAGCTATGTTCATGGATGCTGCATGGGAAGAAAAGAATTAGCAGTGAGAATGATACCAAATGAAATCAGCACAGTCACTGGACTTCAAACCCCACTACCACATGTCAGATATCACTATGAGATCCAGACTCAGTGGAAGCCACCTGTATTTGACTACAGCAAATGGGATTCATTCTGTAGTGGGTGGTTGCTAAGTCTGCAGGAGCAATTAGTTAGACAGTGATAGGGAGGAGCCCCTGGATCTGAACAATTGCTGTAATTCATCAATAAAGTTTGGTGTCAGACTTTGCAGGCTCAGCCCTATCTCACTCTACATGTGGATTTTTTGTCACCTGTGAACCAACTCTATGAATTAGTGAGTGCTCTACTAGCTTGCAAACCAGTGGAGAGGTCTCTCTTTAAAGTAAGAAAGATCCTTTTTTGAGGGAAAGCAGAAATTTATATCTCTGTCTGCACTGCCTCCATTAATCCTTTGGCTCTTAGCTGGGATAATTTCTCCAGTACTGCCCTTCCAGGAAGAAAACCCATTTCTTACGTGGCACAACGCTGACTGTCATGTTGCAAAATTCCGTTCCCACAATGTTTGTTGAAGTACAGATGTAAAAGCCAGAGGTATCTGCTGAGATGTTTGTCAGAGTTATTTGTTCCCCTGTTGTGAAACACAAATCCAGTCCAAATAAAAAAAAGAATTAAAGCAGGGAAGGAAGTGGTGACAGCAGCCCTTCAATTCCAGCCCAGTGTAGTTGGAGTGATGAGAGGTTATTAAAGCTGATGGATCTGTCCTGCTCAGGAGCTGCCATGCTCATCCCTGGGGTTTAGTGTGATTTATGGGAGGACAAACAGAAGTGTGCTGTTTTGATTACAGGGACCATGTGGTATTTGAACATTCCCTTTAGGAAAAAAACTGTAGGTGGAGCATAGAGAAGTATGTGCACTTAGTGAAAGCTTTTCTTTGCATTGGATTTTGCTGAGAAATGTAAGATGCCCAAACCAGCATCTGGCTGTGAGAACTGGCCAGTTTTTGTTGTAAAAAAAAATAATTCTCTACAATCCTCCAGCTCTTAGGATTATCAGATCTGTATCATTTAGCAGTGGGGGGAAAGGTTTTCTGGTTTGGGAGGGACTACACAGGCTGTGAAAATAAACGGAGGGAAAGAAATGCAGTGACATGATTGCTATGATACATTTTCTACCAGCCTAACAGAGTTCAGAACCATAGGCTAAAGCTTAGCTCTGGCTGCTCAAGCAGTCAGTTTTTGTTCGTTACATCTCCAGCTGATATTTGTATGTGTAGTCCATGCTTTTTACTTGTGATACAGGTCCAGATTCCTGCTCTTAAAGCAAAAGACTGAATACTTTTCAGTGACTTTCCTATATTCCTTGCGATCTCACTTCTTTCTGTTTAGTCTCTGCTGGCGCCTAGTGCCAGATAGCAGAAGAACATGCAAACCCAGAAATAACGGACTGCATGCTTGATATTTTTGTTTTCTTACAAGCTTCTACATACTGCCTGTGCCTACTTCTCTCTATCTGCTTATAGATTGCAGCTTTGAGAGTTACAAAACATCATAATGCAAATATGCAAATAATGCAAAGTTGCAGTCTACAACCAGAATGTAAATCCTCCTATTAAATCAAAAGTAATTGAGTGAGTCGAATTGGGAAAAATCTGGGTCAGATACTATCAATTTTTGGAATGTTTCCTGAGGGAGTTCTGCACACATTGCAGCAGTGGGACACACTTAGCACAGAAAGAAATTGCTTGTGACAGTAGGGCGTCCAGCCAGCTTGGGGCAGAAGGGGACAGTCGTCACACTGCTTGGACGTGGGTGCTATGGTGAAAACAGAAATGAGGTGGAAATGGATGAGAAGAGACTCCTGTCCCAGGGAAGTCACGCCAGGATGACAGCAGAAGCAGGCAGGTGGTGCTATGCCAAGTCCCGGTGTGCTCAGTCAGGGCTGTGCATGATGCGCTGGCACCACTCAGTGGCCAGTGAAATGAATAAGGTTTGTGTCCCTGGTGGTATTTTATCCTTTGCATATTTTATGCAAGAATCGTCTAGGGAGCATTGAATATCTTGTTGAGTCTCATCATACTTAGTTTAGCGATGCTGCAGTAAGTTAAACCAGGAACAGTAGGTTCAGATACTCCTGACTTTCTGAGTCTGGACAAACCAGGAAAAAACAAAATTGTTTAAAGGAATAAATTTGAGTCCTTGTCACTACTACACTTAAAAGAGTATTAAACTCTCATTTCTGTATGAATAGTTCTACCAAAGGTCCTGTTGTGGGAATTCAGTTACTTTTTCTTTCCAGATTCTGACTTAAAATAAAAGCAAATAAAATATTTGGGCCTGTGTGTCAGTCCCAAAGAACCCTTTTTTTTCTCAGACCAGGAATGGTGCAACTGTTTCTTGTACCACCTTCCTGTAGGTGAGGAGTCATCTCTGGAAGGAAAAAAGCCTTCGGAGTCAACTTTCATTCCTTCACTCTTGAAAGCAATCATTGTCTTTACATTGGGATGTAAAGGCACATCAGTTAGAAAACTCGATGTTATTCTTCACGTTATGACACACTTACACCCAGTAGTTGAGAAGTAATTCTTTCTGGCTGCTTCCAGAGTGAGCCAGCTCTCTCACCAGGTGAGAGCTGAAGTTGAAATCTCACTGACCATCCTTACTTCAGGTAACAGTGCTTTTCCCCCTGCTAAGTTACTCGTGAGCATTCTTGTATTGAAAGGACAACTTTTCAAAATCCTGGTCAGAGAATGTCCCAGAAAAAGCCTTAAGAGAGATTTTGTATTTCCATTTCAAAATCTTTCCAGCTTTCATCTGCAGAAAGCTCAAAGACTTGATGTCTTTGAAATCCCCATACCTTCTGTTCTTTGTAGCACACGGGGCTCATTTTGTACATTGAAGCTTTGCCAGGTGTATTTGGGCTTTGGGGAGCCCTCGTGAGACACACAGGTTAGATTGATTGTCTGTCCGTATTGTGGTGTCCCCAAAATCTTGCATTCAGGCTTGGATGGTGCAACTGAAAGAAGAAAAAACGAGGTAATTTTATTAATCAGAAGTAGTTTCTTGTTTCAGCCCTTCTCCTGTACCTGTGGTTTTTATTCTTCCTAAACAGAGGCTGGTCTTGCACCTACCACCTTCTTCTCAAAGGAACTGGAGTGAATTTGTATCCATCTTATTTCTCCCTTCTTGGCACTGGAAAGCCAAGAAGAAATTGTAAGATGCTTTTTGGGATATGTCTAATAGTGTTAGGTAGCTCATCCTTTTGTAACTAGAGTATGACAAGCCACAAGGGGAACGAGGAATGCCTTGTAATGAGGCATGGATTATTAGGAAAGTGAACTATACAACTCTAAAGACTTGTTTTCTGCAATCAGGTATCTAAGGGAATTGTGTGCTCTAAGCCTTCCAATCTACTTCCACACAAGTAGGAAAAGACCAAAGATGGAATTGTGGATGACAACTTCCTTGTGTTTTTTTTTCTGTTAGAAAAATCCATTGTTTGAAACAATGTGGATATTAGAGGAAGGGCAGTTTTATCTAATGGATCTGGCGTTGCCCACGTCATGCTCACCAAGGACGAAGAGAGACACTAATGCAGACTGCCGGGGGGGGTCATTCCTTAGCCGAACGCTGCACACGTACGTCCCGTTGTCTTCCATGGTCACTGCATCAACGGTGATGCTGATGTCCCCTTTGTCTACATCACCAGTAAACTGGATACGGTTCTCATAGCCCTGGCCGTACTGTACAAGTCCATCAAAATACCTATTGACAGCATCAGTCTGGTAGAGAGGGAGGGAAAAGAATCAATCTTAGTTCCTTCTGTGTGAGTCTACAACATAACTCGATGAATTAGCCCACTCTTGGAAAAGAGCAGCTTGGAAAAGTGGACCTTCAACTGCACCAGTCTGACAAAAAGAAAAGAAAAAGAAGAAAAGAAAAACACAAAAATTCAAAAGGGTCTGTGTTTCTGTCTGGAATCCCCTTCTCCCACCTTATGTGAAATCAGAGACAACTGGTTTCTTTTGCTGGGGCTTAGTCATCTTTCCTCTCCATGACAGGACAACATGAGTCTTGTCTGAGATCCATATGTCAATCAAACTCCCTTGTGATTACACAAACTCTTCCAGCAAAGAGTTTCTTCTTCAGAAAAGAAACCCTTGCCAGGTCCCACATGGGGATCTGCAAAGGCTCCTTCCCCCTCTCACTAGCTCCCAAGACGTCAAAGAGAACTTTAGAAGTTTCTTTACCTTCAAATACTCCATATGAACGTACGGGAACCTCAAGAATCTTTCCATGTACTATTATCATCAACTTAAAGCTTTCTGAATAGTGTCAAAGATATGTATCTATATAAAACATATCTGTATACTACCTATACTTAAAAATACACATATCTTTTGATAAAGTATCTGAGTGTTTCACATATTTTAATAGATGTAAGCCCCACAGTATGTACAGGGATTTATTCTCAATACACAGTTGTAAGGCCACAAGAGAGCAAAAAGAAGGGTGGGTGCTTGCCTAGTATCATGCAATAGATTTGAGATAAATTGCATCTAGAATCATAGCTTCTGTTTTCATAGTTCTGAGATTAAAGCAAGTTTAGAAGAAACCTTTTTCTTTCAGCACACATTCCTACCCACAGTCCTGCTCCTGTCTCTCCTCCTACCCACCCCCCTTGGATGCCCTATCATATGTTTCTTTATGCAACTTGATTTACCGCACTAAGGACTTTCCTCCAGACAACGATGTCTCCTGGGGAAGTAGAAAACTCAGTTTTAAAATTGCAGCGGAGAGTAGCATTTCTTCCTCGTGCCACCCGTATTTCCTTGACGGGTGCTTCCACCGTGAGGCCATGAGCAGTCACCAGAACTAGGAAGAGAAAATGTTCTGCACTCAGCAAAAGTAACAACATCAGGATTCCATGTTTTGTCTCTTTGGCTTTTTTTACATGCCGCAATAACCCCAAATTCACATCATCCATAACATTCCCCATGGAGCAAGGTGTGATGTGTGCTGTGGCTGATTGACTACAGGAAGCTGCTGCACAAGGATGGCTAAGAGCTAAACTCTGCTTTCTATTCCTCACTTCTCTCTTCTTTACCTGGACATATATTGCCATGAAATTTATAAAGATGTTTTCTTTTTTTTCCTGAGCCCTCTTCCAGTGTGACTGACATCCTTTGACAGTTCAGAATGTACAGAGGGAGGCAGATAAACAGATACTACAAGTGCATCGGCAGTCTTGAGGATTCAGGCTAAATTCACAAACTGATATTGTCAAATTTCAGGGATCAGGAAAACTGTCAAATAACTTGCCTCAATCCAAGTCCATAGAAAAATGACATTTTGTGCTAGGGAATCAAAACCTTTTCATGTAATGCCCTGAAAAGAGGAAAACCTAGAAAAGCAAAGAGAGATTGAAAGAAACAAGTGAAGAATAGCTGCTAGTTTATAAAAATTAGTAAAGTAGTAGTCACCTTTCCCCAAGAACTCTAGCACCTGCCTCTGTAGCGCAGGAATAGCTCAGAGTTGAATCAAACAGCAATCCCTCTGTGCCCTGGTGAAGCATGCAGGGCGCAGAAATAAGTGTTGCTTGTATACTGTATTCCATCTGACTTGCTCTTAATTGATCATGTCTGAGCATTAACTAGTGGCCAGGTCTTAGTTATTCTAGAATTGAGCTGGACAATTATCTCTGCCCTTCTACAGATGGCCTTCATTCCTGTGTGAATCCGTGGTAACAGTTTGCGTGGGTTCTGTGTTTGGGTTTGGTTGGATGGGTGGGTTGGGCTGGGTTTTTTTTTTCCTAATGGCACCAAACTGAATCATTTGGGAAAAATCTAAGTGGCAAGAAAGGGAGTGCTGCTCAGAGGCACTCCCATGGCAAAGAGGAACATGGTGCAGCAAGGAGGAAAGTGAAGGAGGACAGACATGTATGCTCCCCCCACAAGGGACATGCTGCATGTGGTGGTGAAGGTTTGCTTCTCAGGATTTGTCTGAAAAGTTGCCGTCTAGCAAACTTTAGGTCCTCAGTCTGCTGTATCTTTGTCCAAATTAGGAAGTGTAATGTGTAAGGGAGAGACCAAAGAATGTCTGGATTCCACCTTGAGTTGCAAATTGGTTGTGAATACATGCTTTTTAGACAGGAAGACCACAGCCGCATGCATTAGGTCAGTAAGAGTAAGCCACTGGCAAGTTGAGCACTACCAGATCCTTGACGAGCAATGAACAATAGTGTCCCTTAGAAAATAGCAGCGTAGGGACCCAAAAGGTTTTGCCATCACTGTGCTAAGAACATGTGTAGCAATTCAGGTAATTACACAGGGTAACACAGGACTGTTGGCACAAGGATCTGCTTTTAGCTGAAGTCCCCATCTTTCTGCACCACCTCCTCCATAACCGAGTGGTTCTGTGGTCTGGCATAGTTAATGAATTAAGTGTGTGTGTAACCTCTTCCTCTGTGACACGGCAGTAGTGGCTTCCGATCTCTTGGGGATTATTCTATTTACAGCTGCTGACAGCTATGAGAAGGAAACCAGCAGGGCAAAGTATTTCTAAGATGCTTTTATTGCAGCCACTCCCTGGTCTTTCTCTGCTCTGGGGCACCCAGGGCAAGGTCCCTGTTTGCATATGCCTGGGGCTCTTTCTAACTGTTGTTGTCCTATGCCTTTTGTGTGAGAGACATCTGTGAAAACTTCCTCCTTGCTTGTTGTGACTGGATAGAGATGCTTTCCTGCATTTAGGTGAAAAGCACCACTAGGAGATGGAGCAAACCCCATTTTCTGACCCTTTTGTCACTCAGAAACTGATTCCACGAGACTGGGGTTCACCAGCGGGTCATTAACTCAGCCCAGAGGCAAATAAGAGACTGCCCAACCCTCAGGCTCCTTTTCCTTGTTCCAATTGGATGACTCAAACATGTCTTCAGTGCAGAGTCAGGGAACAGTTGAACCAAACACTGTATGCAAGAGAAACATCTGGTAACAAGTGAGACTGCTGATGCATCTGTTGCTGTCACCCAACTACTTCTTGCAGTTGCCCAGCTACTTCTGATGCTCTTCCCTTTGTCACTCACATCTCTTTCTGGCTCCCAGAAAGAGCTCCCCTCTCTCTGGGAAGCTTCATGGTTTCATTCTGGGATGCCATTTATCCACGCCGATTTCCTCCTCCTCCCTGCTCAGCCCATTTCACCTCACAGTCATCATGTCTAAAAATTGTGGTTTATTCTTACAAGGGTTGTTGGGTTTTTTTCTGAAGGAAAACAGAATCTATCCAAAGCATGACTGATGGGAGGGAAGGCCAATTCTGAAAGAACTCCAGAGGAGGAGAGAGGACAAATAGCCTCTGTACTTGGGTACATAGGAAGATGGCGTCACCAAGGCTGAAGCCTTAAAAATTACTTCTTTGTGTGTTATCAGTTAGCATCTTTATAACGTTTTAAGAATTTGAGAAAGGTTTTACCTCCCTCTGCTCAGCTTAGAGATTTGTACTTGTACAAAGGAAGAAGAAAATGAAGTGACGTATCTACTTTCACATTCCTTACTAAGTATTATCAGACTAAAGGGCAATTAATGCAGCTAGAAACAAGCAGGGGAATATTTTATTTGCTTAAAAAAATGAGATTCTGATCAAGCAAAATTGTTATTTCTGATTTCTCATGGTAGATTTGGCTAGTGAGAAAAGTTGGAAAAGTGGAAATGTTTTACTTCGCATTTACAAGGAAATGTTCTGGTTTTTAATTCGTCGGCACTTTACCCCAGAATTTAGCTGAAATTTAATTCCAAAGTGGCAGAAGGAAAACCTCTTAAATGTGAAATCTGCAGTAAAAGTAAAGATTTTGTTTTATTCAGAATGACGGTTTGGGGGTTTCCCATCATCAAGAAGTTCACAGTGCCAGTTATTCACACAACTGCAGTGAAGACCTGTGCTGCAGAAGTCAGCCTGTGCCAAAATCTCATTCAAGGCAGCTCTGACATCCCAGCACTGCACTGCCATGTACTGTGCAGTTTCTCCACTCGGCTGCAATGCAGGAATCTACTGTACCTTCTCCAAAAATTTTTCACAGGCCAGTATTTTAACGCTGAATTATTCCCATTCAAGTTCTGCCCCAAAAGGCAAGAAGAGCTTCATCCAACATATGTGTTTAAGCTCTGAAAAGTTCCCCATCCACAATTTGGATAGTATGGAAGGTGAGAATGATGAAAAAGGAGAGTGAATACCAATGGCATTTCACAGTTTGCATAATGATCATCAACTCAAGGGCCAGGTCACATTTGTTGTATGTGGAGCATATCCACTTTTTCTAATTACGTTAAACTTCGTGAATTTCCTTCTTGTGGGTATTATTGTTGAAGTGAGGTTTTCAGGATTTTTGATTAAAAGAAACCAAGCAATTTCTGGGTGCACAGCTGTGTCTGAAGCCTGGAAGGTGCAGGAGCATTGGTATGAGAAGACGAGACAGGATAAAAAGCAGTGGAACTGAGACTGCAGGCTCTGTACAGCAGGATGGGAAAGGGCCAGACTGTGATGAAGGCCAAGGTGGCTGATTTATATGCCTTAGTAGGAATCATTGTGCATCCCCTTGGTGTGCATAATATATAGAGATCACAAGTCATATCAGAATACATATAAACTGTAGGATTTAGACTACAGAGATGTACAGTACATGCAGATTTATGTAGTAAAGAAATGGAACCCAAGGACTCAAGGCCAGGCTGGATGGCGCTTTGAGCAACCTGATCTAGTGGAAGATGTCCCTGCCCATGGCAGAGGAGTTGGAACTAGATGATCTTTAAGGTCTCTTCCAACCCAAACCATTCCAGGATTCTATGTTTCTTTGACTTTTCCACTTACAGATGAGGAAGTTCCTTCTTCAGAAATAAACACTGTATTTTACAGAAATCAGTAAAACTGTTTTTAAAAAATATTCTCCAGCCTCATGGAGAATAGTGTTCTTTTCCCACTCCTAACACTGCCTTATGGCTTTAGGAGATGCCCATTCAGCACAGAGTTGGTACATGCTCTTGTCTGATCATAAACATGAACCTTTACTAAACAGGAAAGAGACACACGGAGTGCACTGGCGTATTCAGACTTTGTAGTGCTGTTTCCTTCTACTCAACCCGTAAGGACATAACCAAATTAGTACTCACCTGCACTGAAAACGAACAGCCAAAGACTTTTCATTGCTGTCCACCTCATCTCTCCTTTGTTTCACCTCAAGGTGCTCTTCTTTGTAACCTGTAGGTGGCTGGGAAAGTAATTGGCTTTAGCTGAAGGACTGCTTCTCACTGGTATTACAAGTTCACTTCCTCAGTCTCTTTTTAAAGTCCTTCTTCTCTAGTCTGCCACTCCCCTCCCAGCCAGAATGACAAGCCAGATCACCAGTAGGCTCTGACATTGCTCAGATGTAGGGGCAGAGAGAAAACTTGTGAACTCCTTCCCCAGTTATGAACTTTCCTCTCCAATTAAACTGCCTGTTCCAGTTTCTCCTAACACACAGGTACATAAAGCAAGCAAAGGGACAAACCGAAGGGTGTGGTGAGACTGGGAGTGGAGTGTACAGTACCGAAGTCATGCGTGTGGTGACAGGTAACTTGGGGAGAATAGGCCTCATTCATCTCAAATATTTATTGAGGGAGCCTAGGGACTGAGTTAAAAAAGTCTTAAAGTGTTTCACAATGCAGGTAACAGCCCACATCCAGGCTTTAAGGAACTGAGGTGCCTAACCCTATTTACTTTAAACACTCGTAAGAATATGTAATTTATGAGAATTTGATGACCAACGGGTTATCTAAATATGAACGAGATGCGTCTCAGCCAGGTTCTTACTCTCTTATGTCTACTTTTCAACTGCCCAGTGTGTGTCTTGCACAACAGCTTAGGTACCAAAGGTACTTTCTACTTTTCTGCTGAAAAGAAGCTGTTAAATAAACCAGTGGCTTGCAGCATGCTGGCTGCATGTCTGTCAGGGTGCAGTGGAAGTCCAGCCACTGTGCATGGGCAGTATTCTGGATGGGCATGTGGAAGCTGCTATAACTGATTAAAGAACAGAAGGAAAACCTCTGACATCAGATTTAATTGAGTGCAGCTGGCTAGTGTGTCTTTTAAGGTCTTCACTGCCACTAGGCAGCCAGGGATGTTTCCATCTGTGATAGTCATCTCGGCTCTGTTTCTAGCCATTCAAGAGACAGTCACTTTTAGGTTGTGAACTTTTTAGGCATCTTAGATGGGGACTTCATGTCCTTAGGCATTATTTTCAGATGAAATTAATAATACTCACAATACAGTGAGATACCGGTGAACTCTGTTTTGGTCTTTGAAGGTTACCTCAAAAGTGGTTGTCTACACTGGATATCTGTGTTTAGTCCAGTAAAGTTGTGGAGGAACGGCTTAGGGCTAAGAGCCACATAAGTATGGTTCAGCTTGCAGAGCAAAGGACTCTGGGAGAGTCAAGTCAAAAGGTGCTAGCAGCTTGTTGATGAGAATTGTTAGAAAGTGGTCAAGAGAGCAAGGACACAGGCCTGGGAACGCACCTGGGAATGTAGCACAAACAAGGCTCTGGAAGTTGTAACTCACAAGTATAGATAGGGAGTAACTCAACTTGGCAGAAGGCAGAGGCAAGTTGTCCTTGAGGGTGAGACAAACAAGTCCGAGACAAACAGCTAGGAATGCAGCAAAGCCTGGGAAAGTCACAGCTGTAACTGCAAGTAGGGAAGGTACCTGAATGCTATCTTTAGAGCTTAGCTAATTATAAGTGATTAATAGTTATATGCTTGTCATATACGGTATAAGCATATCAGCAACTTTATGTCAATAACATGATGTTGGACAAGGGAGCAAGAGCAGCTGCACAAGATCTAAGAAGCTGCAAAGGAAGTAGCTGACCATTAATCGCGCCAGCCAATGACGAGCTTGCTTTTGCAATATGTATGAGCCTTATTAGTGCATCTATACAACCTGTAGCTTTGGTATCAATAAACGAGTCTTGCTGGACACCATCGGGTGCGCATTTCTCCCGTCGATTTTCCACATAAAGTAATGCCAAAAGCCATGCTGAATTCAGGCTACCTTTTGGTCTATATGGCTGTTGGTCAAAATACCTCTAAGACAACGAAACTTATGAGTGATTAGAAATCCAATCCCTCTGATAGAAAGTACAAGTTGTACTTCTGTGCTCGATGCATAACCTCAGTTCTCTTCAGACTGTTCACACAAAGCAGATTAAAACACATAAGAGTACAGAAACTTTATTCTTTGGGAATCTCCCCAGTGAGGACAGCCAGTAGAAAAATTCATCCTGCTATATGTGTCTCATCTTTGATAGGCTGTAGGCATTAGAAGATGGCAAGGACCCTACAGAGAGAGGAGAGCCATTTTCCCAAAACAGTTTGCTAACCTCAAAATGTTAGCTACAAATTATTTAAGATGTAAACAAAACGGGAGCAAGGTCAGTAGTCTCCTTTCTCTTCTTTGGAGCCCACAAGGATGAGGTTCCTCAAAAGGATGAGTTTCTTAAATGTTTACCTCCATTAAAGACTTTCAGATCTTTGTGACTATCCCAGAGCCTCCAGGGAGAAACATGCAGGATCGTTACTTTAAGTGAAGCTGATGAACAGAGATAGTGACAGAAATGCTATCACTGTACACCATCTGCTCATACTTCATGTGTTAATTCTGAGTTCTTTACATAACAGGTTTTGAGTATTCACCAAAGGAAGTGGGTTGCAGTCTCTGACAGACACTGTACTAACTTGGTCAGCGTGCTGGTATCCTCTTCACAGAAATAAGATTTAGACTATCATTTATACAAGCTCTCTTTCCTCTCTTCTCCCCAACAATTTCAAAACCCATGTGACTGATTTCAGCTAAATTTGATGGACAGATGGTAAACTTATAGATGGGAAGTTCCTTTCAGTCTTATGAAAATCATCAATCCCAATCTGTTGGGATAAGAGAGAAATCTAAATTTATGGTACCTCTTAGGCATTAATAATTGTCTTCCATTCCGAGAACCTGTGGATCTGCAACCAATGCAACCATGGTCAGTCTCATCTGTTGTGCAGCCAGGCAGATAGGGAAATACTGTGGGGTGAGCAGTCAGTGGGGAAAGAGCTGAGGACTCCATGTGGGATGTTTATCCTTCTGGGGCACCTGGACTGCAGGGCACATATCAGTTGAAACCAGGCTCATGGAAATGCATGGGGTTTAGTCTGTTGTCTTAACTTCAGCAAATGGTTAGTAGAAAAAAAAACCACAATAGAGAGAACTTGCAGAGTTAAGCTGGAAACAGTGCTTATAACAATAGTTCCTCAAATACCTGAAGAGGTCTGAGCTTATTAACCTTACTGTCTAAAAGATGGTGTGCTAAAAATGTCTAGAAGATTCAGCACTGCATGTTACCCCGAAACAAATGTCCTATTTTCACATAAATTTGTCATTTAACTGTAAAAGTAACAAGGTGCATCCTCTCCAAGTGTATTGGCATGTGTTTGGTTCCACTGTGCTGGGGAGCAGAGACAGAGGCTGGATCTCACCTCATAGTCCATAACTTGGACAGGCTGCCTTATCTTGTGTCCATGTGGAAATGTTGGTGTGTTAACAATTCACTGTGGGGAACAGTTTAGCCCTTCCTCCTTCAGCCACTCCGGTGCATTACAAGTAAGTTGGCACTGAGATGGGTAATGTTCTGTGACTGGTTTCCTAGGTACCATAGAGAGCATATACTTCAACACCTAATACATAAATCTGATATTAAGATGCTTGTTTAGATGTGCTATATTTATTGCTTTTGTTAGTTATTTAGGCCAAGATTGGAAAAGGTATTTAGGCACTTTTATCCTGTTGCTTTTCCCTGACAGTTCTCACTGGGGGTCTCAGGAGCAGTTGTTAAATGCAGTAGGCAAATGTACAGTTTACCTATGAGAAGCTGGTAGAGCTGCCCTGTGGTGGGTTGAGCCTGGCTGGATGCCAGGTGCCCACCAAAGCTGCTTTGTCACTCCCCTCCTCAACAGGACAGGGGAGAGAAAATATAATGAAAGCTCATGAGTTGAGATAAGGTTGGGGAGAGATTACTCACCAGTTACCATCACAGGCAAACCAGACTGGACTTGGGGAAGCTACTTTAATTTATTACCAATCAAAATCAGAGCAGGATAATGAGGAGCAAAGCCAGTCTTAAAAACACCACCCTGCCTTGCTCCTTCCCGGGCTCTACCTTCTCCCCACCAGGAGTGCAGGGAGGCAGGGCAGAGGGGTTAAAGTCAGGTCATCACATGTTGTTTCTGCTGCTGCTTCCTCCACAGGGAGAGAAGTATTTTTCCTGCTCCAATGTGGGGCTCCTCCCATGGGAGGCAGTCCTCCATGAACTCCTACATGAATCCTTGCATGAGCTACAGTTTTTCATGAACTGTTCCAGCATGGGGCCCTTCCATGAGGTGCAGTCCTTCAGGAACAGACTGCTCTAATATGGGCAATTTGAAGAGATTCTAATTTTGTTTCTGGGTTGACTTTCTTTCCCTGTCTAGTGTGAGCTGCCAAAAGTTAAAGGCACCACTGTAGGTACCAGCAACACTGCCACAGCTTTGCCCTGGCCCTGCTTAGGCTGCAGGCTTGTGTCCTAACATAGGCTGACACATATCGGCTTCCTTATCCCTCACCCATGGGCAATGCAAACCATTAAAGTCTTATTTTTGCTGATGGCTGCAGCTCTGGGGAATCTTTTTGCTGATATATAGGATTTTGGGGGGATATTATTAGGTTATTTAAATGAAACTGCCACTGACGTGAAAAGTTTTAATACAAAACTAGGGTGGATTCATTGTATTGCCAAAAATACATACTCTGATAAGGCTAGCCTGTAAAAGCCAATGAGGATTAATGCATAGGTAGCAGAGTGCTAACACTATAAATTATTGTAACTCCTGTTAGCTGAGAGAAAGAGGAACATTCCGTCAAGATCCTACCTTTCCTACCTAAGAGTACAGCACCTGGCCATGTTCAGGTTGAGTTAGTCTATGAATGAATATATTAATCACCAGTGACAATACCCAGCCATTTACAGCTTGTTACTTTTTGCAATGTTTGCACATGCAAACATTGATTAGCAAAGATTTCTAGCATCCTTGCTCTGCTCTGCATGGTCATCTTGATGGATCCCCCAGAGCCACACATGTATCCAGCAGTGG